GCGCTGCACGGCTGAGCGCACCCCTCTGCCGAGTCGTGTCCTGGGGGGCAACCTGTCCGTTGTGCCCGACGGGGTGCGCCCAGGTGTGCAAACAGACCCGTGTGCGAAGCTCCTGTGTGACAGTTCTGGCCCCACCTCCAGCTCCTGGCTCTTGCATTTGTCTGCGTGCTCTGTGGGTACCGTGGGCAGGAGAAGGAAGTACAGTGCCTGGCAGCAGGGCAAGGTAAAGGCACCCCCTTGCAAGCCTCCAGGCTGTTACCTTAAATGGGATCAAACAGCTGCACTGGGCTTCCCTTGAAGAGTTTTGGTTTTAGATCAGGCAAGGAAGGAACAGGCACAACCTGGCACAAAAATCCAACATCCTTGCAGCTGCTGGAAGCTCAACCACAACCATGAACCTGCTGTTCAGGCTAGGTTAACTGTGTAACCTTGAGATATGATGGCCACAGCACCTCCCTATGCACCATGTACCAGCAGAAAACATTCTGGTGGGCAAAGCCAGCAAGCTGACAAGACACAGCTCTCCTTTCTCCAGTGTGCTTTTTCTTGGTGTGCTGGCTTGACAAAAGGGCTATTACTAGTTACCATCTCCACAATAAGGACATCAAAGGTCACAACATTTGCTAACAAGGCCAACAGCATCCTGGCTTGTATCAAAACTCGTGTGTCCAGCAGAAGCAGGGAAGCGATCCTGCCCCTGTACTGGTGAGGCCACAGATTGGATGCTGTGTTCAGTTTTGGGTGCCGCAACGTAAGAAGGACATCAAGGGGCTGAAGCAGGTCCAGAGAAGGGCAATGAAGCTGGTGAAGGGTCTGGGGAATGTGTCTTACAAGGAGCAGCTGAGGGAACTGGGATGGTTTAGCCTGAAGAAGAGGAGGCTGAGGGGAGCTCTCTACAACTGCCTGAAAGGAGGTTGTAGTGAGTTGGGTGCTGGGCTCTTCTTCCCAGGTTATTAGCGATAGGACAAGAGGAAATGGACTCAAGTTGTGCCAGGGGAGATTTAGATGGGCTCTTGGGAAGAATTTTCTTTCCTGAAAGAGTGGTGAGGCATTGGGGCAGGCTGCCCAGGGAGGTGGTGGAGTCACCATCCCTGAAGACGTTCAAAAAATGTGTAGGTGTGGCACCTGGGGACATGGTGTAATGGTCATAGTAGTGTTGGATGATGGTTGGACTTGATGATCTTAGAGGTCTTTTCCAACCTTAATGATTCCATGGCACCAGTGCCTGCGCTGCTGCAGCTGTAGGTTGTGTCTCGCTCTGACCCGTGCTGTTACACCCCCACGAGGAGCAAACAGCACTGCACAGGCAGAGACCCAGAACACGGAGGACTTACAGATCCCTAACATTTAATGCCCCTTCAGCCAGGCCTTGGAGTCTGATAGCGTGCTGCAAGCTGCAGGTCCCTTGTCCCTTGGGTAGCTGCAGCTCACGGGCAGTGAGCAGAGTTACACTGACTTAGGGCATAAATCTTTACAAGATTTAAAAGTGGGGAAGGAGTCTTGTTCCCTGCTGTTCACCAATCATACATGTTGTTTGTTGTACTGAAGAAGTCAGCATACTTCACTTTGCGTGCTTCTGAGCAGCCTGGCAGTCACAGGGAGTAGCTCTTTATTGGTGCAGCTGTATTACAGAAAGCAGAGCAGGTGCTGATGAGTGGAAAAAAATTCCCAAATAAGAGCAGAGTGCTGCTTGGCAGTAGCTGGGCTCTTGCCAGCTCCTGCTGCCTTGCACCACTACCCAGGAAGAGTACAAAGAGTGGTGGTGACAGCTCTGCAGTAGATCTGCTTTTTAGCCAGAGAAACGATGGTTCCGTGATGACGCTGAGGCTTTGTGGCACTTCTTACTGTTGGCCTTTGGGCAACAGCACCTGTGGCAACCTGGAGCTGGCTTCTCTAAAAGACTTCAAAAATATTTTGATGGGAGCAACAAGAGTGCAATGCTATATTGACTAGCCACTAGCCTTCTTGTCAATGGCTATAGAAAGAAACTCCTCTCTACTTGTGCCAAGACATGGGATCTGCATCCACGAACAAATAGCTCACTGCAAGCCTGGCCAGCGTGTCTGTACAGGGTATTTTTACTCTGCCATTTGCTGTGTTGGGGCTGGCCAGCTTATTGCCACTTGAGGACCACACTTCACTTGCCTCTTCCCACCACCTTGAATGGCCAATGTCCTCCTGAAGCAAGTATTTGTATTGTTGATGAGTTTGTGGGTTGTTCTGGTTTGGTGGTTTTTGTTGGTCGGTTAGTTGATTGTTTAAAAGTGGATGTTAATGCTGCATCTTCTCCCTTTGGGACCATGGATTGGGATGAGCTTAAAAATGTTTTCAAAAGCAGCTCCTGGTATACAACAAGGGCTGGGAATATACTGGAATATTGTTCGAGATCAGCGTCAAGCTGTACTAGAGGGGCTACCTACCAAAGAGCCTTTGGGCTAAATTGGTGGGGTTTGTCTAAATACTCAACCAACCAAAGCTTATGATCTGCCTTGAACAGAACAGGTCACAGTCACACACAGAAGGTGAAAACCCATTTGATGCCAAGTATTTTGTTGGGGCTGAGTTCAAGCTTTCTAGCCAAATCCATCCTCCTATCACTGCCTGTTGAAGAGAGACTCGCTCATGACCAGCTCTTTGCTTCAGAAGATGGGTGACTTCACAGCAAAGTGCTGATTTTTCGAATTAGGGGATGTTTGTTATTTCATGTCCTGCTGACATGCGTCTGACAAACGTGGGTACAGCTGGTGACAGCTTCTTCCTGCCAGCTGGGAAATGGGTTCCCTGCTAAGTGGAGAACTGCAGTAATGTTTGCAGCTTCTTAACAAGGGGTAATTTCAGCTTCCTGATCTCTGTCATTTTTACCTCCAACTGACTGAACCTCTGTTTTAGCTGACATTCAAGATGGAAGGCATTACAAGAGAAGGTAACTTCTTGGACTACTGAACTGCTTTTTCCTAGACTACATTTAGGTTTCTAGTTTAATTGCTGAACTTTCCTAAAATTAACTGTGCTACTGTATATCCATCAACAAAACCCCATTTGTCTCCATTTCCTCATGGACAAATGATTTGCCACTCCATTTAAAAAGCCTTTTTGTCTTTTTAGTAATGTCTGATTGTCTCCTAAACTTGCTAAATTATATTTTTTAATTATGATTTACTGCTGAGAAAAATTCTTATCTTTTTCTTCAGTATCAAAATGTACTACAAAAATGAGATGCAAACTTCAGCAGGCAAGACTGCTTCTTAGAAGATGTCTAAAGAGCTTCTAATACTTGGGGTTTTGGGTGGCACAGAGAAAGATTCCACTTCACTGAGCACTTTTGTGATGTGGTGGCTTTTGACACTGGCTTCTACTCAACTACAGTTTTCAAACTACTAAGGCAATTTTAAAGTTATATAGATGGTTTTTGATTTAATTTAGAAAAAAATTTTTGTTAATCCATGTACTACTAATACAATCCTCTGACTTATTACTTACTGTTATTAAAAACAATCTGAATTCTGAAAGTGAAAATCAATTAAGTTTTCTAAACTATGTCATTAAGTTGCACACATACAGTGAATCTTCTCTGAACACACTGAACTAAAAAAAATAAAGACTGAAATCACTAACACAGAAATGACTGAATGTCACCTTGCCACCATGGCCGAAGAATGTAATTGGCACTATGCTGGTGAAGTACAGCTGGTTATGGACAGATCAGAGGAGTGACAGACCTCTCTTGAACACATGACGGTCTCATAAAAAGTTATACTGACAGTGCTTCAGAAATTAAAAGCCTCATTCTTAGCACTCTACTTTGAGACAAAACTCATAATTCCAATTTCAGAGTTGTAAGTCTAAATAGGGTAGAAGCATAAAATAGAATCCATAATTGTGCTTTTCAAGAAAAAAACCTTTATTTTTAAAAATTAATATACACCTGAGAAAAATTTACATTCTTAATTAATCTGAGAAAACATTCTTAATTATAATTCTGCAGTGCTAATGAATTTGACATACATTTCTATATCATATGTGCAAAGAAGGCATTGGGGTATCTGAAAAATTTAAAAGCTTCATTTTGGAAAAGGAGCTTTATCAGAATGAAATATAAAACACAAGTACGGCCTGAAATAAAAAAAAAACCCAATAAATCATACTGGTCCATGGAATGCTTTTACTCTTAGCATTATAAATAATCTGTAAACAGAAAATAGCCTGGTGTTTTAAATGATCTGATTACAAAACTCAGAGTTAAATATTTTTATTGCAAAGTGCAGCCCCTTGTTCTCCTGTTTACCACCATCAGATCAAAAGTCATGTAAACCAGCAGTCCTTACAGACACAGAGAAAAAAAAGATTCTCTGTGCATTAAAAATTACTCACTTGTTAATCATTGTAAAAATCTAACCATCTATTTAATAATCAATTATTTTGATTCAAAGTGTTCCATGACAAGCTAATATATCATTCCTCTGCGTTTGCTGCTAAGCTGTACTGCACCAAAAATATTTAAATCTGTTTTGTATAGACAGGGACAGTGAAGAAACAGATGGGCCTGTAGTAGTTAATGTAAATGTTAATATTTTTGTAAACTCATTTTAGCAAAGCTATTGCTAACAGACCCGTTCATCCTGAAGACACTTATCGCAAGAACATACAACTCATAAAATAACAAGTAATGACTAAAACTGTATTGTCTACTGTACCATCAAGACATTTCACATTATAATGTAAAATATATTTTTATATGTATCATTAAAGGTCTGAATTAAAGAAGTATGCCAAATAAGAATTCTGTTACTGAACACAAAAACATGCATTAAATCCTAGAGATTAAACATGTATACAGCTACAAGAAAAAAAGAGCAGCAAGTTTTAACGTGCACATGCTGTCAAAACCATAGAATTCAAACAGTCCAGGTGAAGGACCCACTTCAACCCATGCAAATCTGCAGAGTTCAGACATCCACCTTATAAACATGAACTATATGCATGCAACCGATAATTTTTTCTTAAAGTTCATAAACCTTTTTAAGCCTCTCAAGGTCTTCCGAAGAGTACGGATTATTCTGATTTCCTGAAAGTAAGTCAAACAGTTGTTGAACCTGTTCTTTTTCATTTTTGCTAAGAAGGGCCAGCACTACCTGAAAAAAAAAAAAAATTATTTTATAGTTAGCACACGTTGATTGAAAAGTTACAGTATCTGACAGATCATTTCCTTTTAAGATATGAAAATTTCCTTTGGGATTCAGCACAACTTAAGTACATATTCAATCGAGGTTCTTACCTTAAATCTTTCTGCTTTACTCAAATAGAAAAGGTGCTGATACACAAGGCCAGGATCTTTTCCAACTACGTAATATTCCAACGACTGGATAAAAATCAATAAGGTTTCTCCTTCAAGTTTGTTACTCAGCAGCACTGGCAATTTTTTTGGATCAATAATTTTTAAAAGATCTGCACAAGCAGCTTTATCCTTACTGGAATTCACTGCATTTATAATCTGACCAAAATCATAAGCATTAGATGGTTCAGAAATATGCAGTTTCTCAGAGGTCCTCAGTGGCACACTCATTTGAACTGCTTCCTTAGAAGTAACGTGATCAGTCAGAACATCTTCTGATGTTGCAAACTGTCTCTCTTCCTGTTCATCAGATTCTGTCACCTTCACAAAGAAAACAGCAACACATCCTTTTAATGTGGACATACAGATAAACTGAAGCTTCATAAACTGCATGCATAGATATATTAATAATGTCACTAAATTAAAGTTAGCATTTCACTCTTTGTAAAAGAAAGCCACCTATGTTCTTTTATGTCCTTCCTCCCCCAAGAACAGTACCTCTCTAATTTATTGTTGAAGGTTTGCCGTCAAAAGTGTGTACTGTACATTTCCTTTTACTGCCTGGCATCCCACTGTAGAAAGACAACTGAAGGCCCCTGGGAGAAAGCTAAGGAGGACTGTATACATATATTAAATGTGAAACTGCAGAAGACAAGCAGAACTGAAGTCAAATCACCAGATATCCATGTTTCACTTTACTTCTGTGCCTCCAGAACAGTACAAGCGTATGGCAGCTCTATCAGGTTGCTGTTTGGGGTCTTGCTGTGGAAGAAGAAAGCTCAGCATTGTCTAACAGCTGCAATACCAACTGAACTCCCAAGTTTCTGATTTTTCCTACTTTTCTTTTTTCAGCCTGTTTTCATGGAACTACCTGGTACCCCAGCAGAGAGGACAAGGAAGACTCTCTAAGGGGAAAGCTGTAATTATGACAGCAAACATAAAATGCTTCCTGCACACCTCTGGAAAAATTACCACTGTGGTTAGCTGGTCTCTGAACAATGCTGTCACTTCCCAAAACACCTCTGAACACTCTCCAGGTCCCTTTGTTTGTCACAACTCAGAGCTTAACTGACACTATACCCGGCTTATGCCAGTTACATAAAATCCTGTGAACTCGTGACAGTGAGAAGCATTTCAATAAAGCAATTGTTTTATATTAATAACTGCAGTTTCCATTATGAAACTATTTTGAAATTACATTATCAAATTGCAGTACAGTGTACACACTGGTAACTATGTATTTAAGCCATAAATGAAAAGGAAATACAATAAAACCCATATACTTAAAGGACCAGCGAAGCTACAATCCAAAAATATCAGATGACTGAGAAAATCCTTTCATTGCCTAATTCTACCCAGAACTCTGCAAGGCTAACATTTTGATCCAGTACATAATATTACATCATGTATTATTTTATAAGATGGGTCCAGTCCTGTTCAACATCTTCATTAACAACCTGGATGATGGCACAGAGTGTCTTCTCAGCAAGTTTGCTGATGACACGAAACTGGGAGGTTTCCTGAAGGCCGTGCAGCCATTCAGCGAGATTCGGACAGACTGGAGAGCTGGGCCAAGAGGAACTTAATGAGGTTCAGCAAGAATAAGTTCAGAGTCCTGAACGTGGGCAGGAGTAGTAAAATGCACCAGTACAGGTTAGGAGAGGATCTGCTAGAGAGCAGCTCTGTGGAGAGGGACCTTGGAGTCCTGGTGGACAAGTTGTCCATGGGACAGCAGTGTGCCCTTGTGGCCAGGAGAGCCAATGGTATCCTGGGGTGCATTAAGAAAAGTGTGTCCAGCAGAACAAGGGAGGTCCTGCTCCCCCTCTACTCTGCCCTGGTGAGACCTCACCTGGAGTACTGTGTCCAGTTCTTAACCCCCTCATTTCCAGAGGGACAGAGATCTACTTGAGAGAGTCCAGTGAAGGGCTATGAGGATGACTGGGGGACTGGAACACCTGCCTTATGAGGAGAGGCTGAGAGACCTGGGGCTTCTCAGTCTGGAGAAGAGAAGACTAAGGGGGGATCTAATTAATGTGTATAAATAGAGGAGGGCTGGGTGTCAGGAAGGAAAGGGCAATCTCTTCTCACTTATGCCCTGAGATAGGACACAGGGCAATGGTCACAAGCTGGAGCACAGGAAGTTCCACCTCAACATGAGGAAGAACTTCTTTACTGTTAGGGTTCCAAAGCACTGGGACAGGCTCCCCAGGGAGGTCGTGGAGTCTCCTGCCTTGGAGACTTTTAAGACCCGTCTGGATGCGTTCCTGTGTGACCTGCCCTAGACTAGATGGTCCTGCTCTGGCAGGGGGGTGGACTCGATGATCTCTGGGGGTCCCTTCCAACCCCTAACATTCTGTGATTCTGTGACAAGATCCTACAGATGTTCTACCCATACTCTTCCTCTTTAAGGCAAGATTTCACTCTTCAGTGACTTTACTACCAGCACAAGAACAGCCAGCATGCCTGTGGCAGATGAACCTTTGCCAGCATAGCCCCAGAGGCTTCCTGAATAGCACTGACTTTAAAAGCCAAACTGCTGCTTGGCAGCCACATTCTGTAAAACAAGTTATTTCAAAGCCTAAGCAGCTTTTGTCTACAAGAAGCGTATCCTCAAGTTTACTGCCACCTAAATGTACTTTTTCCATTTCTGCTGTGGCTCTGATCACTCTGCAAAGCAGTCCAGGCTTTACTATAGAACGCAGTGGACACTGAACACATCATATGCAAGAATCCTCCAAAACATGCCTGCAAAATAACATGAAAAATACAACCCCCAGAAATACATAGCTGAGGAATGCAAAACAAAAGCTTTAATATTATTTCTTCACATGCGTGGCTTCTGTACCGCCTGATTTTAAAAATGAGCAGGTGTACCTCTTGTATGGTTATTTTCTTCCTTTGCTTCTGCTGACTGCCAGCTACAGCATTGCTGTCAGGGTTAAGCAGCTGGGTTACCTCCTCTAGTTCCTTTTTTGCTTCAAGAACATTTGGATCTATTAGAAGTACTCTGTTGAAATCATCAACACTGGCTTGATAATTCTGTAAGTAGAAGGGAAAATAAGTTTTTCATAAGCATAACACCAGAAAAATAAATTTGGACTATCATCCTGTCTGTTGCAACTACAAAAAATAAAAATGCTGGATTTTGACATTAAGTAAACAAAAATAATCTAAATATAGACAGTGTAATTTCATTAGAGGGGAAAAGGAAACTAAGCATGACTATGAGTTTGTATTTTGCAATTAAATACTTCTGTATGAAATATGTAATATGAAATCATACTCCCTGTATCAGAGAATAAATTATTAAAGATTGCTGCTTTTAAGCATAATTGTTTACAGTGTAACACTTCTTCAAGATTAATATAATATGAGTCCATCAACAGTTTTTGTACTTGCTTTGCCAATGTAAGAGAGTGAAATTTAGGTTAAAAACATATCTAATCTTCCTGGGCTCCAATCCATAGACCACCTCCTACAGTTTGAGAAGGGAAATTTTTGGTAATAATTGAAAAGATCTGGATTACGTTATGAACTCTGGGATAAACATTATTAGGGGGAGAAACACAGCAAGAAAATGGCATTAGGATACAGCTCCTCAATAATCAGTCTTGTCATTTTTTTACTGTTTTTATTTAAAATGTGGACATTAGGAATTATGTGGGTTTTAGAATAAATTTTCTGGAGACACAAAGTTAATAGCACCAATTCTGAGGAAGACTGGAATATCACATATAAAAATCAAGACACCTCGAAGGCTGGAGTATCAAAAGTAAGGATGAAATGTAGCAGTAAACCGTAAAAGACCATGCAGGCAGTAAATGATCAACACAATTTCTTTGTGTGAGGGACCTAATACTTCTTCTGTTCCCAAGCAGTATCATAAGGTACTGTAAGTCATTCACAGTATCATGAAAAAGAATCTTCATGTACCAGCTGAGGTATTTCCTCAGCATCCCAACTGTAACAAAAGCACTGGCGTACAAGTCGCTCATGGTCTCTCCTGTGGGGAGTACTTTGTTCAGTGCTGACGGCCAGTGTTCAAGGGGCTGAGGCACTGCAGGAAATCTGCAAGTGAACTGAAGTCTGCTGTATCATGAAAGAAGAATGAGAGAGCTAAAATTAATTAGCCTTAGCAAATGAATGCAGAAAGGGGGCAGATTAGTTTCATCAGAAAACAGCTACTAATTAAACTAAACCATCTGAATTACAGACGTGAAGATTTACAACTACCAAGAAATGAGATTCTGCAACAGCCTTCTGAGCATAGTCACAAGGGTCAGCAAACCACCAGCCCTCCTGGACAGCCTGCCAGACTGCTCAACAAAAGTCATACAAGACCAAAGCAAGAGACTGGACTATCAGCTCCAGGAGATGTGCTCGAGGGTCCTGTCTCCTAAGTTACAGGCCTAATTCATCACACAAGTATGATTTTTTTCCTGATCCTCCCTTTACTTCATCTCACTAAATCTATAAAACAATCTCATTTACTGCATTAAATTCTACTGTGGCTTTTGTGGTTAAATATCTGGATATTTATATACAAATAACACTTCTCAGCTTAGTTACATCTCTGCCAAACTACATGCTTTTAGCTCCTAAAATTTTTCAGTACGGAGGAATTTGTCTACCTCAATTCACTATTGTTGCTTTCCCTGGTTTTACGAATCACTCACAACCCTCGAACCAGCAATAATGAAAGCATTAAATCCAACCACAGCAAAACATTTTGGGAGTCCCCAGCTCAGACTGTTCCAAGGAAATCCATGAAACGTGTGTTTCAGGTTATGTCTTCAATCATACAAAAATAACTTTTTTTTTCCTAGGATAGTCACAAAAGAAGTTATTTCTCTCATTTTTTACATTCTCCACTAATGTCTAATTCCTGTTTTTTGGCTGGTAGAATCACTATATAGCTTTGCTCATATTTATACTGATTTTTTATCAACTTCAACAACATAAGGTTACAGCTGATTAATACTGGGTAGCTTGGTACAGTTACAGAAAAGTTTTTACACAAAATTAAGACTTCTCACCTTCTTTGAAAATTAGTTAAAGGAAACTTTCAAAATGTCATGGCTACTGTAACAGAGGAACAAATTTAATCACAAATGAAAGATCCCATGGTTCCTACAACTTGTATTTGGAATCGTAACACAGGATGAGAATAGGCTAGTGTACTGCTAAGCACAAACAGATTGTCCTCAGGTGATCTGTAAACTGAGAGACAATCACGTAACTTTTTAAGACATCAAACATAACACAGGTCTGAGGTAAGTATTTATTTAGTGGACATTGCTGAAACTTGGTGGATGCTTGGAGTGATCACCTCCAGCTACAAAGAACAATACAGGAGAAAGCACTTAAGATGCTTGTTTAAAGACACTTGTAAAATTTAATACAAAGTACACAATGATAGCAACATCACAAGCAACAGAAGTGAGAAACTGATAATACAATACCAGGTAAGAGCTGACAAGTGGAGTAAGGATTGCTATGAAAAAATTACTAAGTGTAGAGGGCTAATGAACATCACCAAAGAACAAGGATCAACAAAGGGATGGACAAAAGGAGCAGCAACATGTTTCAAATGATGGAACAAGAGATTTGGAGTCATATTCAGGATGGATATGAACAATATAAATCTGCATTTATGATAAAAGCATACTCAGGAAACTGTGTGTAAGATGATCACAGTACAGAGAACAGCACTGCAAGAAAGAAAGGGAAAAGGTTGAGTAATGACACTGTCCACAGAGTGAGAGACCAGATAACTGACAAAGGCTAGCAATGTGTTTGGGGAAGGAAAACAAAGAGAACAAAGAAAATTAAAACTCTAGTTTAATATGACAAGCACTCAAATATGAGCAGATGCCAAAAGACAGCTTAAGATTTTAGTCTGGATAGATGGAAGACAGACTTGGAGAGAATTTACTTGTCATCAGCAAAGATATAGTAAGCACCCTGACAGAAAAAATAGGTTAGGATAGACCCAGAAGAATATTAGAACAGAGCTGAAACTTGCTTAACCTATCTCAAATCCAACCTTATTTATTCAAATATTCCTGTACTTTCTCAAACGATTACAAAACAACATGCAGGTTTTTATGTTGCAAAAATATTTTTATAATACTTCATGTATGCCCAAAGAAATAAATCATCAGCACTGCATACTTTGTATTCACCTATCAGCTGCAACTAACTGAATTCCTTGAAGAGGGTAAGTAAGTTTACAAGTGCTTAAGAATACCTGCCATGTTCTTTTTCCTCACCTGTAATCCTTTGTACGCTAGTGCTCTTCTATAAAAAGCTTTAATATTAGAATCTTCTATCTGAAGAACATGATCACAGTCCTGCTTAGCCTCTTCATATTTATACAGTTTCAAGTAACAGAGAGCTCTAACACAAAAAAACAGAATACACTGCAATATAAGTAAGTTCTATAGTGCTGTAGTGCCAACAGTATCTGACCCATTAATGTTAACTAGAATATTTCACACAATTCACTCTCAATGTGGTATGTATTCTGAAGTACACTAAACCCAGTAAATATTAATAATATCACTGGATGGATTTAGAGAGGGCAAACTCCTGCAATAAAAATAAAAAATCAAGTATGACTAATGCTTTTAAGCAGAGTCTTCACACTTAAGTTAAGCAGAGTCTATGTTAGTATATAAGGTAGTATGGTAGTTGATGTAGTATGGATTTTATACAAGCCTTCTGGGTATAAAAGCTCCCTAGATTAAATAAGAAATACTGTTTTCTTCACCTAATTATTACTTAGAAGTCTCCTATTCAAGTACTGGCCCTAATCAAATCCTTCTTAGTTTGTGAAAGCTGATAAGATTACAGCATAACGCATTATGCTGCAGAATTAGGTCACCCTTTAAAATAATGCTGCTGTATGACCACGTACCTACTTTATTTTCTCAAAATGTACTTTTTTCCCTGAATTATTACTCTTCATATTTGAGATTCTGCTACTGCACATTAGTTTTGAATTAAAATCATATCAGTATTCTCAAAAAAATGCTGCAAAGTGTTATGCTAATTATAACTTTTACTATTGCTTACTCTATTTATATAAAGATTTTAGGATATATATCAGTGACATTAACACTTCCTCCTCTGGGAAAATAATGCAGTTTAACAAAAAATCAATTCTGTTGTTAGAAATGCTCATCAAGTGAGGAAAAAAAAAATCTTTTTTTTTTTTTTTACAACAGAAACTGAAGGGATGCAAAATCTCTACTTGCCACAAGAAAATACAACTATTGTTATCCCACAGAACATGGTTAGATTTTGGATCTTTACCTGTTAGTGTAGATAGTGCATTCCTCAGTGTTTAACTTCATGCATTCACTGTATTTATTTACAGCTTCTTCATATTTACCCTTTTTTACCAAATCATTCCCTTCACTTTTTAATGTCTTGAACTTCTCCTCGGCTTTCTCACCTACAGCACAAAAGGATCACAGTGTTACATAAGAAAGTCAGTTCATTAAGGGTAGCTGAATAATCTACCCAGACTAAGAATAAGTGTCTGGCAACTGAAGCATCTTTACCAGTCTGCACACTGCCGTTTCCATCCCACATCTCCCTGCTGCCCAAAGAAAGGCATAAACTACCATATCTGCATTGGGCACAACACATTTCCCCAATAATGGGAATGCAACAGACAGCTCTATGCTTTCACCTCCTTCTGTCCACCCCCTCTGTGTGGTAGAGAGGGATTATGTATCTCCACTGAGATACCAGTTTTATTTACAATGGTGCAGATTTAATCAGCAAGATTAAAGGCTGCCTAGATCTCCACCATCACACCAAGGTTCTTTAATAATTTGGTCCGATATTCTTTCTGCAAGCAACTATCACAATTACTACACTAAACTGATAATAAAAACCAAATCATCACATCAGTAGGGGTTAGTGATACATCAGTAATATTCTGTTAATCACTATTTATAAAAGATGCTTTAAGGAGCCTGAAAACACCTAACTACACATTTTTTAATGAATACTGTGTTCTTCCATGATTGTCCTTCTTTCTGAACTCCACATTATGTGCTGCATATAATTGTGGGTTAGACTACAATTTTTAGCTATGTTTGTAGTGAAAAACCAATTCTGACTGCAGTTTTGTGTCTCTATTGTGAGCAAATAACAATTAGTAACATAGCTCTAAGTAAATCATAATGGAAAAATCTACTTTTTGTACCTTGCTAAAGAATATGAGCTCCTTGCCAATCTTCAGGTTTTAAACACTGTATATAACCAGTTAATTTCAACCAATAAAGAAACTCAGTGAGTTTTTTATAAAAGGCTGGCAGTGTCCTATGCCAGAAAACAACATGTGGATGTGGGGAAAAAATTAAATAACGATGTGAAACCACAACACACTTACATTAGAAACACAACTATAGTACAGCTCAAGTTAAGGCCCAAAAACCCAACAGGCAATTGCTGCAAAAAATGTCAGCCAACAGCAAGGTTCTACCACTGACTGAACATTATTCCTGGCGTGCTTCTGCACCAGCTATCACTGTCAGGTCCCAGAAGGCAACCATAACCTTTGAGTCAGCCTTCTGTGAAGAAAATGACTGCACAGCCTTCATATAGTATTTCTAAAAACAGCCTAACCAAAGGACACTCTATTTGAACTAGATTGGGATGTGTTTTGCATCAAAATGCCACAGAGCACACTCATGAGGACAATGGTGGCCAGTTCTATTAACTTTCATAACAAGTTAAACACGATCTCTAGTTTTCAGAAGCCACCTATCTTATTTTTCACTTCCGTTATACACTTCTTACACTTATTATTACACTTATTTTTCACTACAACAATCTTCAAATTCTCTCTCTCCACAAAGTTACACAGGCTATACAGATCCAAATTTACTACCTGAAAGGTTTAAATAGGTTAGCTATATATTGAAATAAAAATCCAAAAGTTGTATTCTTGGATAACAGGAAAAGCCTGAAGTACGAATACAACAAAAAGCAGTTTTCAAGCTAAGCATTTATGCTTAATCGTAACAATTGTGCAAGGTATCAGTTTTCTGCTTCACTTAAAAACCCAAAAATTAAACCTAGTCACTGCCCAAACCTTAAGCATAACTAACCAGTAATGACAGGTACTGACAACTGTAATGACAATACTCATCACTAGGTATTTTAAAATGTAGAGTAAAATTTTTTCAACTGAATTGAGCTTAAATTATACATCAACATGTCTCATATTTCTTAAATGAAAAAGAATTTCCTGTAGCATTACTGAAGCTCAGAATGCAGTACTATTCAAACTGTACATAACCCACATTATTACAACTTTCTAGAACTATGTTTTGTTCTCAAGAAGAATGTCCAGTTTTCATAAATGCACATATTTCTAAGCTGTCTGCTGTTTTACAACAGATAGAAATAAATTCAATGCTATCTGAAAGATCATTTAAGTCATTAAATCTATAGTGCCTGAGATTGCAGACTATTGCCATTATTATTTTTGTTTAATATTATTTAATTTTTATTAACATTATGCATTGCAGTCCCCCGTGTTACCCACAGGGAGATTATCTTCAGTGCTACTTATCTTTATGTTGAAATAAACATTGAATAAAGGTGAACCAAATAAAACTCAAGTAAAATATTATCATACAGTTAAGGCCTTTGCAAAAAGAATGTTTAATGCCAATAAAAATGGAATCAGAAAGGTTTCTTCACCTAAGCGATGTGATACACACAAAAAAAATGTTCTTCTATAGCCCATTTCACTAACTACTGGCCACCTACAAGTCTACCCTTTCTATTCTAAAGAGCTAAGTACTGCTTTAAATCACAGCTCTATATTATGCAGCTGATTGTCTTGCTGAGGTTGGGTGTTTGGACAGTGGCTTTTGGGGGGAAAAATGTGTTTTAACTGTAGTGTGATGTCTGGGAAACTCTGAAACTTGTGATAGGCCTCAATATACTACCGATGAGTATTTCTGCTGTATTTTATGTAACTGCAGAAATTACATGCTTCAAACTACATTACTTGGCTTAAAAACACTTATTGTAACTGTGGCTCCATAAAGCACATTAAAGCAAGTCACACAAATGACCATCATCTAACTTGGCTTTTCACAAAGGTCTCTGATAAATATTTTCTAAAGCAGTGTTTTTGATATTAATAACCTGTACTCCATTTTTAAATTATTTTCTTTTCTTGTACACATATCTGCATTAGCTATACGTACGATTCATCTGCAGCTGTTCTTCCCTGTTGGTGTCTGTAGTACTTCTCAGCTTATCCTCTGAAGCAGAGTTTCCCCCATCCCAATGGTGCAGCTGAGCAGCAACTGGGACAACTGGAACTGGTGGCAGTTTCTCCCTCCAGCTGGGTCCATCCTGATCTATTAAAATCTTTGTTATTCTGGAAAAGAAAAGCCCCCCCCCCCCCCACCTCTTTTTGGGAAAAAAAAGCCCCCCCCCCCCCATGACTTTTCATATATTTAACTCACATTTTAATAACTTAGACCCAAATTACATAATGCAGTGTTCCATTTTTTTTTTTAAAAATGAATTATTATCCTTAAGACTAGTCTAAAAAAAGATTGTCACAGCAGTCAACAGTATTGCACTCATTTATGATTTAGATCTTTTCCACTTTTTAGACTATTTATGCTAGCATTTAGAAGACAAGAAGCTGACTTCAGCATGACCTGTAAATATTTAAGCAAATAATTGATTTTGCAACTAAGCTCTAAATGGTGCCTACCATATGCAACGAAAAAATAAGAAAAAAAACCCTCATGTATTTGTTTTGTTTACTTTTCTCAGCTGTTCATAGGTGTTATTTGTACCAAGTACAGATTACAATATCCCCAAGTGTAGTACCTAAATTTGCCAGTGTCAAATGAAACTTCTTACACAATTTTCTAAATAACCAGGGCAGGTCAGCATAGATACTAAGTTGCATTTTATAGGATAGTCAGAAATTCAACAATCACTCACTCATTATCCTCATTTAAAAATACAAAGAAAATATATAAAAACTATTTAGTCTTCTTCGAACCAACACACATATACATATGTCAACTGTTTCTGTACATGAGAGGTTCAATTCAAAATTCATCAAAGTGAGCATTTCCCACTGCTGCAATACATTTTGGAGAAAGACCTAAGTAAACCTGGGTAAAGGCATGTAAGACTTCACGGTTCCATTACAATTTTTGCCGTGTTTTTTTTAATAGAGAAAACAAAACAAAACCAAATATTAATCAATTATGAGGATGAGAGAAATAGTGAGATAAACATCTTCTAGTCTCCAAATAAGCTTAAGAGTCAAGCTCAACTAGTGATGTCTAATATCTACTTTAAGAAAGGAAAACTGAATTTAGTAGCAAAGCAAGCCATGTTGATCCTACAGCAAGTAAACCTGAAATCTGTATATTACATGCATCTCCATCTCACACAGCTGAAAAAAAATACTACATGAATACACATTTTTTTAAAAAATTAAGAATCTTGAATGTGACATGAAGAATGAGACAGAATGATCATAAATTACCCATTCAAGTTTTCTTGCTTAGTCTCATTCTTTTTAAATATCTGAAGATCAACTCCAAACCAAGAAAAAAGCCTTATATTTCTGAATTTAAAGTAAATTTCTTTACACGCAGAATATCACATTTTGTAGTACTATCTAGTTGGGGTTTTTTGCTTTTTAAGTGAACAAGAACGTTTTTCTCTGTTGGCTACATGTGCCCTTTCAGGGGCTCTCCCCTACCTGTATAATTTCTCTGCAGTATTTTATAGGACACACCAACAAAGCAGCTTATCCAAACTCTGTTTTGCTCTAGTGATGTTTTTGACTAAAACTTCAGGTTTATAATGATATTCTGAATTCAATTGTTAAGAAGAATGTGGCACACCATCATAAATCATTGCAAAATGATCGGGTAAAGGCTTTATATTATCAGGTAGAATCTTTATATTAAAAATTCTACTTGCCTTTTACATGAGAACTATTAAAAATATCAGACTGAACAGACGTTCAATTCTAAGATTTTTGGAAGGACTGTATAGTTAGTTAAGTACAGAAAGACAAGCCTTAGCACAACTTATCAAACACACCCTTAGACACAAGTAGGATGGTGAGTTTTTCCTGTCAGCTTCCTACAGCATCACCATCCAATTTCCCACAGGAACTTCAAAACAAAAAAACTCTCCAATAAAAGCAGGTTGTTAAGATCTTATATTCCTAACACATAAAAAATTTAAATTACATTTTGGGATCATCTTTTTAAGTTAGAAGGCAGTAGAGGGACTATAATTTTTTGTTAGAATTTATTTTTTAAAAGGTCTAGTACTTTGAAAATTAAAATGAATACTGTGGCAAACAATTTCAGTTTAATTCTTAAATGGTAAAACACTGGAACACAAATTATAATAAAAGTTCAATTAGTTCAAAAAGTTCAATGCAGGAGATCTATGCTTTAGAAACTAAGAATTTGCAAGCAAAAACAAATTACCAGCAGAGGAGAAGAAGGAAGAAGCAGCTGAAATAAGGTGATGGGTTGCCAGGGAGGAAAGAGTAATGAGCAGTGAAGCTAAAACATAAGGAAGGCCTAGAGAGGAGAAAAGGAAGACTGTTAAGGGAAAAAAGGGAAATAAGCTTATTACTAAGCAAGTTACAAGTCAAGGAGAAACAGGAAAAGAGTATCTGCCGATAAAATAAGCAAAGAAGTTTAAAAAACAGTGGAATAATTGCACAGATACCAGGAGTGTTACTTCACCAATCCAAGTGCTCTATTATCAGTGTAGATAAAGGAGGACAGTAACAATTTGTTGTGTTATCAAATATATGACTTCTAAGAGGAAATTATAAAGTGTCATGATTTCTTTTGGCCACCTCTTGTCAAATAATCAGAATTTAAAGATATTATGGACTTTTAAATGAAGTGGTAATGTAAATGCTCATGGCCTTGCCTTGAAAAGAAAAAAAAAGGTACTAGAATCTATTTAGTCCCATGCATGGGGGTTCCTGCTCAATGGTTAATGGCTCTTCTGCTTTCATAAATACCTTTCTTTTTCCACCACAAAAAGAAAAAAGGAAAGAAAAGAGAATGGAAAATCCCATCATTCATGCACTTAAGTGCTTACTATATGTTAATGAGAACACAATTACAATAGCGTGTATACAATAACTTTACACTATTAAAACATAGAGAAATTGAGACATCTCTCTTGGCAGCAAGAATTAATATTGGGTGTATTAACACTTAAGTTAAAAATAATACTAAATTATACTTTTTACACCTCTAAGCTTTGTAGTGAGCCACTGTATTAAACTACTTCATTGTTTACACAAGTACAGCATACTGAAAGATTCACACAACATAGATCTCCAACTGCCACAGGAAGACTGCTAATATGAAGAGGAAACAGAAATGTCAGAGAAAAGATAAGGACCTTGAAGTATTACTCTACATGGTATCAAATACAATTTAGGAAAAAAAACCAAGTTGATGCATCATTTTAAAAAGCCTTTAAAATGTTACATTTTTAAAATGGAAAGTGAGCTGCTGGTGGCAGAGGAAAGCTGGGAAGCTGTGGGTAACCTACTCATGAAACAGCCAGTTCTCTACTTATAACACACTAGTCATGATGACCCTGCCCCCGAGCGATATGGAACGGATGGAGTATCCAAACCAAAGAAGACCGAACTGTACTTTTCTGTTTGGACTGAGATAAGAAAATCTGTGAGTGTGGTTACCTATTAGCACTATCATTTGCTGCTTGGATGCTGCTGTCTATTTGCAGGACTGTTTTATAATCGATGTATGCCTGTCGATACCGCTCCATAGACTCATTCGCCATTGCTCGTCGTAGAAGAGGCTTAAGGGAAAATGGCTGAAGCTCCAAAGCTCTGGAAAAGACAAAAGAAAAATGCAGGATTGAAATAGAGTAACCAAAATAATATTAATAAAACTATTTCATGACATACACAGCTTTGTGATTTCAGATGGGCCTTACAGTTCCAGAGCCAAGGAAAATGGAACTAAGTGGTTTATATTAGTACCCTGAACGACATACATTTATGACACTGTTAGTGCTTTGACTACAACATACTCTACTGAAATCCATATGCTCCATCTGGAAAACTGGTTCTACCACCAAGAAAAGATTAATGCAGAGCAAAAGACTTTTTTCTTAAGTCAGGCCCAGATCTATGGGGATTTCAAGTATATGGGGCTTTTGACTATGTGACTTTCAGTTCTTCTTTACGTAGAACCATGGACATAAAAAACACATTTAGTAAGACATGAATACGCACCTATCTTCTCTTTGCTTTTAGGTTTTTGCCTGTCTTTTGCCTTTTTACTTTTCTGATTGTGTGCATGGTCAACACTGAGCTCAACCCCTGACACTATGCAATCAGAACTCCTACCAATACCATGAATTTTTCCAGCTATATGAAGACACAGTCCACAAAGGCTTTATTTGTTAAAGACTACCTTTTATATATCAATGACTCTTGCTAAACAGTGAGATAAACTTTGAGGTACTGAAATTAGGATGAGTCTAGCCAATTAGATTTCACAGAATCATAAAGTCATTCAGGCTGAGAAGTCCCTAGCGCAACCTTCTACAACAGGTAGGGTCAAGTCTAAGATCCAACAATGTTGCTCAGGGCTTTATCCAGCTGAGACCTGAAAACCTTCAACGAAATCTCTGCACAACATCAGCAGGCAACCTTTGCAACCCCCTTCATAGTTCATGAGGAAAAGATTTCTTCTAATACACAGTCTGAACCTTGCATGGTTCAATTTTTGCCTGTTGTCTCTTGTCCTCCCACAATGCACTGCCAGAAAGAGCCAGGATCCATCCTCTGCATAACCTCATAGCTACTGGCAGGCTGCTGTTAGGACCCCCAGAAGCCGTTCTCTGGGCTGAAGGCTGAACAAACCCATCTCCCTGGGCCTCTGCTCTCCAGGCAACTGTTCCAGAGCTCACAAGCACCTCAGTGAGAATTTACTCAGCTCACTCCAGTTGATCGCTATCTCTCTTGTACTGGGGAAACCAAAACCCATCAGAGTTATCATAGATGTTGTCTGACAAGTGCTGAGTACAAGGGGATAATCGCTTCCCTCAGTCCACTGGCTGTGCTCCTGTTTATAAACCCAGGAGGCTGTTGGCTGCCTTTGCTGTAAATTGGCTTTGCATCATTAGTGCTCCTAAAGCTAGAGAAACAACAATTTCTAGAATAAACGCTTCCAATTTCTATTTCATAAATATTTCCAGTGTTCCATTTCTCTTTATGTTGCTGAATGCATTTGAAAAATACAACAGAGCACAACATCATGGCCTCTATGAAACTTCTGTAAAAATGCTTGATATTCTGTACCTTAGAAGAATATTAATACAATTTCAGGTTTCTAACATCAAGAATGAAGAAGAAAACAAACACAAATAAATTCAGGGAAAGACAACACTTCTTGAAGAATAGGAACAGTGGGAATGGAAAACTGCATTTCCAGGCTAGAATGCAAAGATAGCCAGGGAACAAACCACACTGTAGTACTAAATAAATCAACATCAGTGCACAGGAGCCCTTTTTCACACTCTGCAACAAGAATCAAAGGCACTCTAAATCAGAGTCCTGAGACAAAGAAAGATCCAACAGAGGGGTTTTTATACGCTTCCAAGCTCTAAATAGTGAAAACTTAATAGAATAATTCAATAATTATTTTTATATCAAAAATATAAGCCCTACACCATTTTTTACTTTGCAATCAAGAAACCTATTCATAGACCATCACTTTATGTTGTGTTGCCTAGACAACATTTAATTGGCATTGCCTAATTCATGTGTGTTTGCACTTTTGCAGGTCTGCTTCCCATTCTCTCAACTATTTCTACTTCTGTTGTGTTCCCTAAGCATCATGGGTCCTTGTGTATCCAGAAAATACGCATGACATTAAGGATACTATCATTAAGTAATAAGAAATAAGCTTCCAATTGGTAAGAATAGAACACCCAAAACCTTTGTGTTACTAGTTTCTGCTGAAGTCTTACACACTTCAAACCTTCTGAATAGAAAAATTGTGATGGCTGTTAAGTATGCCACCTTGTATCACACTTACGTATCAGCCAGCTAGTTATGGTCCTGCATCTATTTTAACTAGTGTTAACAAATCAATTTTTTTAGGTGACACTTTCACACTTTACTGTCAGGTAGAACACACACAGTAAATAAAACATTTAGTTAATACAAAGGTACATTCACATTTTATTTTTAATTCTGAGGGATTAACAGTTGGGTTGTACTGTAAAAAACCCAACTGAATAATGAATATGATTTCTAACCATCTTGGAATCCTTTTTATTGTACCTGAAGACTCAGTTTTACTAACTCTATGAAAATATAAATAAAGACATCTAGAAATACAGTAATAACTCAGTGGAAGGCAGTGTTTGGAAGTTATTGAAGTTGTCTGATCCTCTCTAACTCCTGTATCCTTATAAGCCACAATAAGCAGAAAGGATTTTAGTTTACCTCCTGAACAGCTCTAATTACTGTTTATAACTATGCCAAGTATAGATTTAAAAAAAACAAAACAAAGCAACAAACCAAACACTGAAAACACACATATACACCGTACACATGCTTGAAATAATTTTCCAGCACTGTGGTAAGCATCTAGCTTAACAAAGCTTTTACGTGCAAGTTACTACAGAGAATCACTGAAATAAGCCTGAGCATATTATAAATTTTGATCCTGCTGTATGTACACAATGAAGCCTAACAACCACCCTCTCACAGTAAGACAGAAATTTAAAAGTTACTCTTTCTCTAGGTTCGATGTGATTGTTTATGTAACTGACAAAGATATCTGTCATTCAGACAGGGAATTAGGCTTTGCAGAAGATTGTTCTAAGGCAAAGTACAATAACAATATATCAGTTAAAATGTTTAATCATCATCAGGAACGCTGTTGCTCTACATGGGAAGTTACAATTTACCTGTTGCAATCCTGAATGCAGTCACTGCAGTTCCCTTCTTTGAGGTAACACGCTGCTCTGTTTGAGTACAAGATACTTAAATCATCTGGACTTCGTTCTCCTAAAAGAAGTTACAATTAAAATGAAAGACTATTACTAAAATGACAGTGAAGAATTAAAGACTTGTTTACTGTAAGTTGCACTGCAGTAATACAGTTTGCTGACAATGCAAAGCTGCAAGTAGTTTTGCTTTATCATATCACCTAGAATATGTAATTATTCAAACACGTAAAGCAATGCCAACAGCTCTGCAGCAAGAAAGTTAAAATATTATTTCACTCCCCTTACTACATTTTGTGTGACATGAATGGTCCTCTACTGAAATGACGAAGAATTTACTGCACACTAACTCCTGCAAGCAACCCAGGGACAGGCTAGGTTAGGTCAAATAAACTAAACAGCAATCCTCGATTTAAGTGTAAGGCATTACACTCACCTACACCGACAGCATGTTCAATCGCTTCCGAGTATTTGAGCACAGCTTCTCCAAACTGTCCACTCTTAAATAACTCGTTTCCTTCACTTTTTAGTTTTGCCGCAGCAGGAGGAAGCGAAGTGGAACTGTCACCAACAGCCGACTGAGACCCTGCTCCATGCGACCTGGAGATCTTCCCAGCTTCAGAGCTTTCACTCGTTTGATCACCGTGTAAATAGCCATTAGCTTCACCTTCTCGGTCTGTCAAACGCTGTCGTGGCTTTGTCTCCGATGCGGCTTTCTCTGCGCCGCTCCCCGAGCGCTGCTGCTGCTCCTGCGCCTCCCTGTCCCGCGCGCCGCCGCCCCCCTTGCCGCGGTGCCTCCTCTGCGCGTTGCCCATGGCAGCCCCC